AGACATTAGGAATGCATACTATCTTGTCAATCACTATAGCTAACTCATTATCATCAAGGTTTAATTTCAACTTCTCTTAGTCATACTCACGATTCCAGAATCCCTAATTCCCAATTCTTAAGCCCTAATTTATTATTTACACATATACCTCCAAGATTATGAATTCCTTTTTGTTTTCTATTCGGGTGTTTTATCAAACACCCTATATGCACATGATATGTAAACCTTTTTCTTATTGAAGGTCATGTGTTGGAATCGGAATGTAACCCATCCAATCATGATTATACCGCAACCATTACATATCATTGATACAACAAATTATATAACCCTAATCATTCACTTAAACAATCAAGAAAATCAAAGAAGGAAAGTCTCAAAGGAAGAATATTATGAACCCTAATTCAGTGACCCAATACCTTCCCAATTCTATTTCAAAAAGCATGTAATTTTCGGGTGTAAACCAATAGAAAGAATAGATATGTACCTTGATGTTTCTTGGAATGCTAGAACGAAGAAGGGAGAATTTGGAATGATATGGAGGAGTGTGTTCGTGAGGGGGTTCGCTGCTGTGTGAGGAGAGAATTTGTAAATTTTGAATGTGGGGGAAAGGGGAAAAAATAATGGGGATATTTAAAAACCTGATCTGATGAGGCGTGCTTAAGCATGGTGGTGGGCGCTTAAGCGCCTTCCTCGAGTTGGGCCTTTGGTTGGTTGGGCCGCGCTTAAGCTTCCTCTCTTGCGCTTAAGCGCGGAGAGGCGGTAAGTCCTGGACATTTCTCTTATCGAGCGCGCTTAAGCCTCCTTTTTAGCGCTTAAGCGCGCTCTACGATTGGAATTTGTAGGCTGGGTGGTGCGCTTAAGCCTCCTGCCTCGCGCTTAAGCTCTCTGAGGCAGAGGCAATGTCTTGTGTTTTTTTTTTATATTTTAGCGCGCTTAAGCTTCCACTTGGGGGCTTAAGCGTGCTCTAGGAATTGGATTTTCTAATCGTGGAGCACGCTTAAGCTCGATACAGCGCGCTTAAGCGTGCTAAGGCCGAGAGAAGCTTTGATTTATGGGGCTTAAGCGTCCTTTAGGGGCTTAAGCCCTCAATACTTAGAAAAAAATTTGTTTTTATCTACTCTCCTATGCTCTTTTCTCTCTTTATTCTTCCCACTTATATAATAGTATACACAGTATATGAATAAACAAGAATAGCGTACCTGTGTATGCTCCATTCCCACTTACACCTGCACTTTATCTCAACAAAAATTGGTCATAAACCTACATGTTTTTATTTTTCTATGACTAAGAACTAAAATTTAAACTTACCTAAACTAAAAACTGAAATTGAAACTATACTAATCAATTTAAATTTCTGAATTTAAAATATTGAAAGCTTAATAACTGGGTTGCCTCCCATAAGCGCTATTTTTACGTCACGAGCTTGACGTACCTCTTTTACATTTCTGCAAGAGCAACGGTGGCCGTTCCTCTGTCAATTTCACCTCCAAGGTATGGTTTTAATCGCTGCCCATTCACCTTGAAACTTCAGTCAGAATCAAGTGGACTAATTTCCACTGTACCATAAGGACGCATTTCTTTAACTAGAAACGGTCCTGACCACCTTGATTTGAGCTTTCCCGGAAAAAGTCTCAACCGGGAATTATATAGCAGAACTTGTTATCCAACCTTGAAGTCTCTGCCCAATATTTTTCTGTCATGCTACTTCTTGGTTTTCTCTTTATACAGACTAGCACTTTCATACGCTGACAATCTGAATTCATCTAATTCATCCAACTGTAACAGTCTCTTTTCGCTTGCTGCCTTTGTATCAAAGTTTAAGAACTTCACAGCCCACAAAGCCTTGTGTTCCATCTCCACCGGCAAGTGACATGCTTTTCCGAACAACATTTGAAATGGTGACATTCCTATTGGTGTCTTGAACGCAGTCCGGTATGCCCATAATGCATCATCAAGTTTGCGAGCCCAGTCTTTCCGGGAGCTTCCCACTATTTTCTCAAGGATACGCTTCAGTTCCCGGTTTGATATCTCCACTTGCCCATTGGTTTGTGGATGATATGGTGTGGCAATGCGGTGTCTGATGCTGTATTTTGCAAGCACATATTCAACTTGCCTGTTGCAGAAATGTGTGCCTCCATCACTGATCATTGCTCTTGGTATTCCATACCTCACGAAGATGTTTTTCTTGATGAAGTTGATCACGACTCTAGAATCATTGGTAGGCAAAGCAACGACTTCCACCCATTTAGAGAAGTAATCCACTGCCACCAAGATATATTTATTCTCGTATGAAGTGGGGAAAGGCCCCATGAAGTCAATGCCCCAAACGTCGAAGATTTCTACTTCCATGATGTTGTTAAGTGGCATTTCATGTCTCCTTGATATGTTCCCCGTTCTTTGGCAGCGGTAACAAGATTCCACAAATTTCCTTGCATCTTTATAAAGCGTGGGCCAATAGAATCCACTCATAAGAACTTTTGCAGCTGTCCTTTCTCCGGCGAAGTGGCCTCCGTAGTCTGAACCGTGACAGTGCCATAGAACATCTTTCATCTCTTCTTCAGGGATGCATCTTCTGATGACTCCATCAGAACATGTGTAGAATAAGAATGGTTCATCCCACAAGTATCTTTTCACATCACGCAGAAACTTTTTGCGTTGTTGCCATGAAAAATCTTTAGGAATTGTCCTAGCTGCTTTGAAATTTGCAAAATCTGCAAACCATGGTAGAGTGTCAATCGCAAGAGCTTGCTCCTTCAGAAACCGTGGCAATATGCTGACTGAGAGGACTTGTTCATATGGAAACTCATCTCTGATTATCAATTCTGAACTGTCTTGAAGTTCTTTCTCTTGAAGTCTAGAGAGATGATCAGCTACCTGGTTCTCTACTCCCTTCTTGTCTCTAATTTCTATCTCAAATTCTTGAAGTAGAAGCATCCACCTAAGTAGTCTTGGCTTCACATCCTGTTTAGTCAATAAGTATTTCAAGGCAGTATGATCAGTATATACAATAACTTTAGATCCTAGCAAATAGGTTCTAAATTTATCAAAAGGATATATAACAGCTAGCAATTATTTCTCAGTAGTAGTGTAATTCATCTGTGCCTCATTCAGAATTTTACTAGCATATTATATAACATGCAAAAGTTTATCTTTTCTTTGACCTAAGACTGCACCTATAACATAATCACTAGCATCACACATTAATTCAAAAGGTAATTCAAAATTCGGTGAAGTGATAATAGGTGCGGTAGTCAGTTTTTCTTTCAAAAAATTAAAAGAACTCAAACAATCATTGTCGAAGTTGAACTCTTCTTCTTTGGCCAATAGTTTGCAGAGGGTTTTGGCTATCTTTGAGAAATCTCTGATGAAGCGCCGATAGAAACCTGCATGTCCAAGAAAACTACACACATTACAGGGAGGGGGAAGTTTTTCTATAAGTGAGATATTTGCTCTATCAACTTCAATCCCCTTCTCAGAGATCTTATGGCCTAAGACTATTCCATCTCTTACCATAAAGTGACATTTTTTCCCAGTTGAGTACTAAATTACTCTCTTAGCATCTCTGCAAAACACAAGCTAAATTAGTCAAGCAAATATCAAAAGATGAACCGAAGACAGAAAAATCATCCATAAATATTTCAAATTTTTTTTCAATCATATCAGAGAATATGGGCAGCATACACCTTTGAAATGTGGCAGGTGCATTGCACAACCCGAAGGGCAAACATCTGTAAACAAACACACCGTAAGGATAGGTGAAAGCTGTCTTTTCTTGATCTTCTGGAGCAACTGCTATCTGATTATATCCAGAATAGCCGTCAAGGAAACAATAAAATGAATGGTTTGCTAGTCTCTCCAACATTTGATCTAAGAATGGTAGAGGAAAATGATCTTTCCTTGTAGCGGCATTAAGTCTCCTGTAGTCGACGCACATTCTCCAGCCGATAATAGTTCTTGTAGGAATCAACTCATTATTTTCATTACGTACCACTGTGATCCCACCTTTCTTTGGAACAGTTTGTACCGGACTCACCAATGCACTATCAGAAATTGGAAAGATTATACCAGCATCCAAGAGCTTCACGACTTCTTTTCTCACAACTTCTTTCATAGTTGGATTCAATCTTCTTTGTGGTTGTCTGACTGGTTTCACATCATTCTCCATCAATATTTTATGAGTGCAAAAAGATGGGTTTATTCCTTTCAAGTCTGTAATAGACCATCCTATAGCTGTTTTGTTCTCTCTCAACACTTTCAGTAATTCTTCTTCTTCAGCGGTTGATAAATTTACATTGATAATCACCGGTTATGTCTTGCTTTCTCCAAGAAATGCATATTTCAAAGTAGGAGGAAGCTCTTTCAATTAAACTTTTGGTGCTCCTTTAGTAACATCATCAACCTTCTTTTCTAGCTTTTCAACCTCTTGTTCTCCTTCTGTTGCTTCAGTTGTATTTTGTCGTAGTTCTTCTTCTAATGACTCCAATTCCATCAGTGGTTGGAGTATTTCATCGACTGTTTCTAACACTGCATCGTTGATTATATCAATCTTGAAGAAATCTCCTCCGTTGAAAGGATGTTTCATAGATTCAAGAACATCAATCGTTATGATTTTATCATGAACCTGTAACATCAACTTGCCCTGCTCCACATCAATCATAGCCCTTGCAGTAGCTAAGAAGGGTCTTCCCAACAGTAAGGGGATTTCCGCATCCTCTTCCATGTCTAAGATGACAAAGTTTGCAGGGAATATGAATTTACCAATCTTCACCAAGACATCTTCAATAACTCCATCTGGCCTCCTGATATATCTGTCAGCTAACTGTAATGAAACTTTAGTCGGCTCCAGTTCATGAATACCCAGGGCCTTGCAGATGGATAATGGCATAAGATTAATACTAGCTCTAAAGTCACATAACGCCTTTCCCACATCAATGTTGCCAATTTCTATGAGAATGCTGAAACTTCCAGGATCTTTGAGTTTTGGAGGAAACTTTTCTGAATTATAGCACTGCACTCTTCTGTCAAAGTCACGGTCTCACATTCTTTCAGTTTACGCTTTCTTGATAGAAGATCTTTCATGAACTTTGCGTAATTTGGCATGTTCTCCAAGGCTTCAACAAATGGAATATTGATCTGTAGATTCTTGAAAATGTCAAGGAACTTGGAATACTGCTATTTTTTGATTTCCTCACTGAACCTCTGCGGATATGGAATCTTTGCTTAAGGTGAGAGCTCCAATGGCTTTTCTTGTCTTTCTTGAGCTTTCTTTTTCTCCCATTTGAACTCTTCTTTTCAGGAACAATTTTCTCTGCAACAGGTTCTTTGTCAACTTCCTTCTCTTTTACCTCTTCAATTGCAGGTTCATCAGCTTTCTTTTTCTCTACTGAAGGCTTGATCACAGGTTCAATTACTATTCCACTTCTAGTGGTAATGGCCTTGCAGTGTGCATTTGGGTTAACATCTGTGTTACTTGGAAATGTGCCTTAAGCCCTTTCATTGAACTGTCTTGACAATTGACCGATCTGAGTTTCTAGATTCTGGATAGAGGCTTCTTGATTCCGGAATGAGGCCCTGGTCTCTTGCATAAAGGCTGAAGTGTCTTCTCTGAAAGCATTGGTACTTTGAACGTAGTCTGATGTGGTCTTCGATAGTTGTGCAAAGGCCTTCTCCCATTCTGATTGTTGTGGAGGTTGTTGTTGCACTGGCATAGAAGGATTCAACTGATGGTTCGAACTGTAACTAAATCCTGGGTGTTGATTTTGATTTTTATTTCTCCACCCTTGATTCTGGTTATTGCCGTATTGGTTCCTCCCTGGATTATATGGAGCTTTTTGATCGTGTCAAATTCCATTAACATCTGCAGTTTCGGGTGCCCTGCAGTCTTCAGTAGCATGAGCACCTGCACAAATATCACAAATAATAGAAGGAGTATTAACAGAAGCTACTGGAGTATTAATAGAAGAAACTTGAAATTCAGAAAATTGCTTTATGAGAGCATCTAGCTGTTGTTGCTGTTTCTTATTGGATTGTAAAATTTGCTCATTCTGAGCCAAGATGGCATCATAGCCATCAAGCTTCATAATCCCCGCTCTTCTCTGTGGTACTGGAGCATTATCGTACTCCTGAGAGGCTAGAGATTCTAGTAATTCTAAAGCTTCATCTGGAGTTTTTGTTTTTAAGGACCCTCCTGATGCAACATTCACCAATATTCTTGTGTTGGATGTCATTCCTTGGAAGAAAGTTCTCGCTTTCTCCCAGGCTTCAATGCCATGTTGGGGACACTTCCTGAGTAGTCATTTGAATCTTTCCCATGCTTCATATAGAGATTCACTTTCTTTTTGTTCAAAAGAAGTGATATCTGCCTTGAGCTTTGCCATTTTCGAAGATGAGAATTTTTTTTCTAAAAATTTGGTTGCCAAGTCGTCCCAGTTGGTGATGCTTCCTTGAGGTAATGATTGCAACCATCCTCTTGCTTCGTCTTTAAGTGAACAAGGGAACAATCTGAGCAAAATAGCATCCTGAGACACCTCATTCATCTTCAAGGTATCACAGTATAGCAAGAAGTTTTCCAGATGGATGTAAGGGTCTTCCGTGCTTCCTCCGGCAAACTGGTCTTTTTGAATCAGTTGAAATAATGCAGGCTTGAGTTCAAAGTTGTTAGCATCCACGTTTGGTCTGACAATGCTCGCCGTCTGTGGAACTCGAGCAGGAGTCATGTAATCTCCCAATGTTCTCGAAGGTGGTGGAGGTACATTGTTGTCTCCCATTGCTTCTTCTCTTGGTTCTGTTGAGCTTGAAGCTTCTTTCTCTTGCTGTCTTCTTTCTTTAGCAAGTTTTCTGTTTCTTTTTGCTGTTTTCTCTATCTCTGGGTCGAATAGCAAGGAATCAGTGTCAACGGTACCTCGCATAAACCAGAAAACAGATTATGAAAATAAAAATTAAACTGAACTTAAATAACAGAAAATAAGGTCCAATCTAAAGAATTAATAGCTACTATTAATGTTGAAATAGTAATCCCCGGCAACGGCGCCAAAAACTTGTTGCTACTCACGGCAAGTGCACCGATCGTACAAGTAATATAATGATTGAATAAGAGATCGTTCCCACGAGGATTATACTCAAGCACTAATTCACTATCACAAATTTAGTTGGACTATCGAAATTATATTTGGAAACAAAATTTGAATTGCAAAATTAAAATATTAATGTTAAACTAATTACTCGCAAGAATTAAAGACAAGAAAGTAAAGATTTGAATAAACTGATAAAATAAAAACGTAGCTAGGGTTTCGATTTCCTTCAATCTCTTTACTATGTTTGAAGTCCTTCTTTACGTTAATCGTACCTTAGTATCAATCTAATTAATTCTTTCGCATGTTATTAGAGCTCAATCCCTTGTTACCCTAAAACCTTTACAATCTTGAAAGAACCCTAGTTACCGAGTTATTCTCCAAGAATGCAAGCATTAAGTTCAAGAATCTTAAAGATTACGCAAACCCTATGTCTATCCCTAGAATCATAACGTTTACGATGAAGTTATCAGATATGGATCACACACCAACATTCTTATTATCATGCATTTACCTATGATCAATATATAAGATTCAAGCCTATAAAGAGCATTAAAAATAGATAACTTCATTCATGATATAAAGGAAAAGTAACATAGCGAATTGTACAAAACATAATAAAAATCTTGAATTCCATCTAACCCTAACTACTTAAAGAACTGCCATACATAGCAAAATCAAGAACAAAAGATAATATAAAAGCTCCCCCAAACTCCATAGGTGATTGGTGAATCTTCAATATCTCCATAGGTGAGTAACATAGCCGCTCACGAACATGAATCGATGAATCTTCTGCGTTCCCTCTGCCTCCAAGCACCAAGAATTATGTTGCGATGTGAAAAACTATCTAATTCTGGTCCCCAATGGTGTTTTTATTGGCCAAGAGTCCGTATCTCAGTGGAATACTTGAATGGGCCTAAGTTGGATCTTTCGGGGCACTTAAGCTTGCTTCACGCGCTTAAGCCCCCTAGGACGGTGATTGCAGAGTTCGCGTTGCGCGCTGGAGGGAGCTTAAGCGCGCTCCTCGACTTGAAGCTTTCTTCTGGCAGCGCGCTTAAGCCCTGAGTTGGGGGCTTAAGCGCCCAGAGGCAGTGGCCTTTGCATTTTTAGGGAGCTTAAACTTCGAAATGGGGCTTAAGCTCCCTCTTCTAACAACTTGATAAGATCTTCAATCTTCTTGTTTTCACCTTGATCCATCATCTTTTCTGATTTGATCTCCCTTTATCCAAATCTTCATATTTGAATCCATTTGTCATCAAATCCCTTAAAAATAGCAAATATATTATTTAATTAATTCATAATCAGATAATGTTCATGATTTTATGTTAAAACCCTAGTTTTTGACTTGTTCAACTAGATAATTCATATTATTTTAGTCTATTAAACAAGATAAACTAAAAGTTTATCACCTCACCAAAATATCTGGCCCTATAGGTCGCAATATTGGTTAATACGATATGGCATAACATGAAATCGACCAACTCGAACTGATGTGTGTCGGTGTCGCGGGTCGACATGAAAAATTTAATAATTTTTTTTTAAAAAAAAAAACCTAAAGTAGACAAGTAAACTATATAATTCCTATAAAGTAAAATGGATAAATAGTTAAAATAAAAAAAAATCTCCGAAGTCCCCAAAATTCCCACAGTTAGCATAAATTGTCATCAACCTAATAAAAAAAAAAATCAACAATCTCTTAAATAATCCAAATTGGAATATTACAAATATCATTAACTTCACAATTTCATATTATCATCATCAACCCCATGGCTAGTACAAAGTACAATCTCATCAAAATAAAAATTAAATAATGAAGATCTAAATTGATCTCAAATTCCATTAAGCACTAGTTTGTGAATCATGTTCATTTCTTGATTGCTTCACCACACAAGCCTCCATCATGTCATTAGTCAAATCATCCATAGGTATAATTTCATCATCTACTATAAAGAAAGTATTAAAAATAGTTAGAGCAAAATATTTTAAAGCCAAAAACTCATCTACAACCATAAATAAGACAAAAGTATTACAGTGGCTCCATACAACTAATTTTTAGTGCAAATTAAAGTCTTCATTACATCATGTGTGAAAGAACTTCTATACTGGTCAAGAACTATTGCCCCAACACTGAAAGCATTTTCAAAAGCAACACTAGAGATGAATATGCTAAATATATCTTTGGCCATTGAAGCAACTTGTGAATGCCTGAATTGATTACCCTTAAAATATGTTAATACATCTCATTTGAGTTTTGCATCAAGTCTTGACTCCTCAGTATACAACTTAAGTTGTGACTTTAAGGGGTCATACTATATATCGAGACATTGGGGTCATACTTCCACACCAAAGTTAATAAAACACTACCTTATGCCTATGGAGATCGCTACAAATTTCTTATCCCAAGATGGATTTTTTTATGATAAATCATATTGAAAATCCTTATGCCTTTCTTATTATAGAACAAATTTTTTAGTTCTCTTTCAATCATAGAAAAATGAACATACCACGAAAAAATCTCAACATAACACAACATAACACAACAAAAGTTGTACCTTCTACCATAAATTTCAAATCCTAGAACCCATCTTTTACCATATCAAAATATACATTGTTGATGAAAACCTAATCTAGATAAATATAATATAAATACTAAGCCCACATTAAAAGCCTTGTATATGAAGAAAGACTCCAAAATTAACAAAGGCTGCTTGCCACGATTGCCTTCACCTCCAAAAAAAAAAAAAGCTCATTAAATGCTATATTTGCTGTTACATATCAGCAAGCTTCTTAGTAAAACTTAATCAGTAAGAATACTTCACCTGTAAGGACCTTTTGCAAACATTATCTCTAAGCCACCCACAAGGACCAATGAAGATAGTTTACCGCCTCACAATTTGCTACCAACTTTGAGAGCATCTCTCCACCAAACTGGCCATCTCTCCACTATAAATGCATGTGTTAATCAAAAGGTAGATATCTTCTTTTACATAATAAACCTGCTTGAACCAAATCTGATCTGAGCGTCGGAGTGTCTTGCAGGTACACCCCCACCTTGTTCCAGTGAAGACCCATGGATTAAAGCTGCACCAAATCATTTGGGGACATTTGTGTAAAGAAAAATCACATGATCAACCCATATTTAAATATTTTGATCAAAACCCAAATACAAACACTAGAATAGAAAGTAACATGTTGATATTATATTAATAACATGTTGATACTATATTAATGTGCTTTACATCTTGTTCGGGTTGATTATCATACAAGTCAGATTAATTACTCATAAAGAATGATTAAAGTATTAACTAGTTGTGGTCTACTCTAGTTCCCATAATTTTGTATCCTTTAAAAAAAATTACAAAACTGAAATATTATTTTATTTATAAATCCACACACGCTATACTGAGTATAGCTTATTATTTTTCAAAGTTTTAATAAGAAAAAATGTAAGAACTCTTAATAACCATAACCACACCAGTGGGAATACAAGTATTGCTTCACATATTGCTTGGTTAGTATGATGCAGAAAATTATCTATATATTGCTTCGAGCCAAAACAAAGCAAAAAAGAAAGAAAACACAAACACACATTTCACACTGTCTTTTCAACTTATTTTTGTCTTAAGCCTCTAAGTATA